CAGCTGCTAGAGTTCTTACCAGGTCAAAAAAAATATGATCATATTACCCCAATTTGATCATCTCTACACTGGTTACCTATTAAGTTCCATAAATGGTTTAGCTCCTGTATATTTAACTGATCTTCTTATGCCCTATAATCCATCACACTCTTTAAGGTCACGAAACTCTGGACTTTTAGTAGTACCTTGGATATCTAAGTCCACTAAAGGAGGGAGAGAAGTTTCTCATCTGGCTCCTAAGTTCTGGAATAGTCTTCCTGATAATGTCCGGGGCTCAAACACACTCTCGCTCTGTTTAAATCTAGATTAAAGACTCATCTCTTCAGCCAAGCATTCGCATAACGAATCTCAATCTCACCCTTGTTCCCAGTTAGATCAGATAAAAGTCACAAGCATATTTTTTTCCCTCTATATTGTAATCATTATGATCACACTTGTAAAAATCGCTTTAATGAGCTTCTGCCTGAAATTAATTCATGTTAGCTAGCTGTATGATTCTATGATCTTGAACTGTTCATTTGTGAAATGAACATTACTTGGACACATTCACTTCTGCTTTGTAATGTAGACACATGCATTTCTGTAAAGCTGCTTTGGAACGATGTGTATTGTGAAAAGCGCTTTACAAATGAATTTGAATTGTGTTTCTCCAGTAAATGTGTGTCTCTCTCTCAGACTCACCGGCGGTCGTGCTCGGCCTGCAGCAGCGGCAGTAAAGAGATGCGCGCCTCCAGATCCTCGATGTGCAGCCGTCTGTCGGAGGAAGAGCAGAAGCTCTCGTCAGGACTCTCAGACTCGTCTCACAGACACTCAGTGTGACGCTCGCTCACCTGCGCTCGCGGTTCCAGCGGAAGAGCCTCCAGTATCCGAACACCATGAGCCCCACGCCCACGCCGAACATACTGTAACCTGAGAACAACACACCGGACAACTACAATCACGAGCCACCCAATCAAAGAAAGTCACTCTTTATCTGGCAATTCTCAGTGTACACTGCCGTTCAGAAGTTTAGGATCAGTCAGATTTTTAATGTGTTTTAAAGAAGTTTCTTCTGATCATCAAGGCTGCATTTATTTGATTAAAATGCAGAAAAAACAGTAATGTGTGTGTGTGAGAGTGTGTACACGTGTGTGTGTGTGTGTGTGTGTGTGTGAGAGAGTGTGAGAGTGTGTGAGTGTGTGTGGGGGCGCGTGAGCGTGAGTGTGTGAGGGTGAGC